CGGATACAGACTAACACGGCTGTTACTCTGAAAGGAGAATGGGAGATACTCAAGTGACAAGCCCCGTGAAGCACTTCACAATGGAACTATTTCAGTTTTCGTACATTTTCAACAAAAAATTGAAAATTGCCAAGGAAAGCAGACATTTTTCAGAAAAAAATCATTAACCCCTTCCCCCAATTTTCCATCAAACAACAGTTTCAATGGAAAATTTTCCCACCAGACCTAGTTTTTAATGTTTATGATACTAGGGTCCCCTTTTCCATACCAGAGCCCCCACCCCACCCCAGGACACACGCTCCCTCCAGAACATGCCCTCCCCCATTCAGCAATGTGGGAAGAACGAGGTTGTCATGCCCCCTGACACTGTTTGTGATCCCCAGCCTGGGAATTCCTGAGTTTAGATCATTTCAGGAAGAAATGGCTTCTTTTCAAACTCCCATCGTACATACCAGCTGGTCAAACTTTTATAATCTTTTTAGACCATTTATATGTGGGTGAAAATACATGAATTAAAAATGTGCGCTTTATCACAACCCTCCCTCCCATATTTCAAAAATTATATAAAGCAACAATACTGCACCTTAACAATAATACTGCACCTTTTATACAGCATTGTGTGTGTATTTGGTACAAACCAAAATATGTGCATTCAGTTTTGTAGACTTTACATCAATCCAACGTACCTCGAATCACGGAACAGAAATACTTTGACTAATAAATACATCTGAGGATGAAAAATAAAAATCTATACATTAAAAAAAAATCCAGCTGTTGGTAAAGGAAATGTACACTTATATACACACTGTAAACAATAGAAATGTAACCAAACTTCAGTTCAGCTTAATGGCAGATAAAACCTTCTGCCCTCCAGGAATGGAAGCTGGGAGGTTCTGTTGACACACGTGCTGCGGCCAACCAGTCTTAGCATTAGTTCATTGAAGCAACAAAATATAACAAATGCTAAAAGTGACCCCAGAAAGCCAGCAGAATGAAGTGAGAGCTCTTGGACACCAGTGATGCACGCGCTTTATGAAATGGCCCAATGATTAACCACTTGGAAGGTTTGGAGATGTTGAGACAGAACTTCACCTGGGTCCAGCCTGGCTCCACTGAAGTCAATGGAGCTGTGACGTGGGCATCAGCTAAGTATCTGACCCATTTCCTCACACTGGTAAAGGAAAACTGAATGAGGAAAGGTCTCCTCCAAACGTTCTGCTCTTTGGAGGGCCCCTGCTGGTTTCCATTGGTGACGGGATCACAGGGCAATGCGCTGGCTATAGACACCCTATCTAGATGTCCCTCTCTCCCTGCAAACTGCCTACTCTGAAAAACTTTCTTCTGGTGAATGCTTGGGAATGGCCAATCATAGCCTGATAGGACACAGTTCAGGATTTCAGTTCAACATGAGAGGAAGGAAGCCAGTGCTGGTGGATTATGGTTGGGGGGTGAGGGCACGCCGATGGAGTTCCAGGGGCTGCAAGAAGATGGAGATGGAGGGCAGCTGGTAATGAAAAGCAAGGGTCCATTTTGCAAGGAAGCCACTTGCCTTTGGAAGATCACAAGATCTGCAGGGTTCTAGCCATCTAGGTATTTATATGGCCCCCATCACCATAGTTAGAATCTGAGTGCTTTGGGCCGGGGGGGTGGGGGGGTGGGCAAGAGCAGGAGCTGAGTCTGCTGTTCCTTGTGTTTGGCTCCTTATGTGGGTGTGGGGGGCGGGAAGGAGAAACAAATTCTGTGTCTCCTTGACAGAAAGAGAGAGAAACCATGTGAATTTCACATGGTGGAGTCACTGTTCCCCTAGGGCAGGGAGAATGGGGTCCCTATTATGCACAGCATGAAAAGGAACAAGGTCAGAGAGTTTTTCAGTGGAGAGTGTATGAAGACTTTTCTGCAGTGGGATATTTTGTGCAGGAGAAGGTTAGGCCCGAGCCATATGCTCCTCTTAATCCAAGAGCCTAACAACACTTTCCTCTGATCTTAGTGCAAGGGGTTGGGAGCTGGTGGCCTTAGGCTTTACCAACTGATTTTTACAGTGCTGTTTGAAAAACTTAAGCTGGGTCTGAATCAAAAACCTCTGTGTCCTAACACAGGGGGTGTTCAAATTTGGAGGAAGTGTTGTTTTTTTAAACTGCATTCAGAGCTAAATGTTACAGCTCAGGCCCATCTCTAGTTTGGATAATGATGATCAGCTCTCATGCTTCAGGGCATAATTCCCTGCAGGGGTCAGGAAGGAACTTTTTTTCTGATGGACATTGTTGCACACTTGGGTACATGCATAAGGGGTTATTTTCTCCTTCCTTTTCAACATCAGGTGTTGGCCACAACATGGAGACCAGACTGCATGAACCTTATGCTAATTAAATATTCCATGGGTTTCCATGGGTTTTTTACTGAATGTGAATTTGATACATGTGACTGCTGCATTAATTCAATTGTATATTGGTTCAATAGTTTGTAAATACAGGATTTACAGATTATATCATATGGACCCCTATAGTTTATTGGGTAAAATATCTACTTTCTGATGTGGGACTAAACCTGTGTTGGGTTTTATTTTTTTTTAACTGGATACGTCATAACCCTTCTTAAGGAGCTATTATGATCAATTATGTAAATAAGATGCATTTTCAAAATGAGTGCTTGTACCAAAATATATGTCATTCCACGTTGCAATTAACTCAGTCACAGGAAAAGGTCATTTATAAAGTGTTTATCAAAGTCATTATCCAATCAGGTAAAAAACCTGCATCTTTCCAAATTTCCACATTAGTGTTTTTTCACTCCTCATAATAATTATTTATATGAGCCAAGATATTGGTTCCCTTGATAGACTGGGATGGTCTCGAGAGGAATTTTGGACTCTAACTATCTATAGGAAACACTCCAGCCCATATTCTGACCCACTGATATCCTGCATGTTAATATTAACGGGAGCTTTGTGTGAAGAGATAAGGCTAGTGTATGACCCTGATTCTGTTCTGGTGTCCCTCTAATGTAATTCCACTGAATTCACTGGAGTGACTCTAGATTTACATCAGTGTAATCGAGATCTAAATCAGACTCCCAGTAAGTATAAATCAGCGTAGCGCCAATGAACTCCAACTTCAAGGAAGTGAAGTTAATTTGTACCAGCAGAGGAGCGGGCTTTTTTGTTTTAGAAATGCTTATTTTCTATTGATCTCAAATAGTCAAACAAAATCCCTCAAATAAGTTAAATTTTTCTGTAATTCATATTTAACCAATGCTAAGGTTTGGTCTCCAGACTGACCGGGAAGATAGAACTGAATCACCTAGGGTGACCAGACAGCAAGTGTGAAAAATCGGGACAGGGGGTGGGGGTAATGGAAACCTATATAAGAAAAAACCCCAAATATCAGGACTGTCCCTATAAAATTGGGACATCTGGTCACCCTAGAATCACCCGAACATGGGCAGCTACAGTTTATGATGTCCCAGCCTGTCCTGAATGGTGTTATAGCTTCCATATGTGCTTAGTTAATCCCCAGATTGATCTCAGAATCGGTTGACAGAAGGGCAGAATTTGGCAAGACACTGTAAAAGTATTGCACAGCAGCCAGCGTTGGAATCCTTTCCTCTGATGGATTCAGTCTCTCTGCACAAAACTAAGCCATCCCTGTTAGGGGGAACTTGCATTCCTGGTTTAAATGAAGAACAAAAGTGTTGCCTAAATGCACTTGGCTACAGCAAGTGGCAGGTATTATCAAACGACTTTATAGTGAATGCCCCCACATAATTCTACTTTATGCTCTATGCATCTCCAGCTGTCTTAATTCAAACACCAGGACAGCTGTAATTAACAAAACAAAGGAGATGTGTGGGGTTTGTTTGCTTGTTTAAGCCTACTTTTATCTCCTCCGTTCCCCTGCGGCTCTGACTAGAACCCGGAGGGAGAAACGGTGAAACACCCAACAATTAGGCACTGCTTTGCTGAATGCTTTCAAGTGATCAGAGGTCATAAATTCAGGTATATGAAATCATAATAATGAAACAGAAGAAGCTAATTTAAAAGGTCAAGCAGAAGTGTTAGCAACAGCCTCAGCAACTTGGGAGGAATATTTGATAAAATGCTTGCCAGGAATGGCTAGACAGCCCTGGAAAATCTTCAGTTTATGAGAAAATGTCTGTGATTCGGGAAATGACAGTATGTTGGTATATATATATTTATATATATGGGTGTGTGTATCTATATGCAGCATATAAATCTACACACACATAGACACACGGATGGATGGATGGATTCTCATCTCACTGTATGGGAAGTTACCCGCATAAATCCATTAATATTATATGAAATTCCCATTTAAGATCAAATTTCCATCCTGCCCTTAACTAGGCCTCCATTTTGGTGGGTGCAATTAACATCACTTGTACAACTCACAGCCTGATTGCACCTGGAGGTCAGGTATTTAGCTGGCTAAATGTCCGCAAATTACCACAGCTACTAATGTGGGCACATGATTATAAGCACCTTTTGCCCCTGGTGCTTTCTTTCCTCTGCATACAGCAGATCTAGACGAGGTAGCTGCTTCCATACAACACCTTAGCTGTCCAATGGATTAGTCCCATTGTCAGTGCAGATCTCCCCTTAGCACCAATGGAATACATGCACATGTGTCTGGAGTCGGGGGAGAAGGGCAGGGTGAATGGATTCTTCTCCTTCCAGAGCTCCTGACAAGCATCTGCTCTGGGCTGGATTCCAGCGCCAGTGACCACACACAGCTCTGGCTTTGCCTGCCTGGTGCTGTCTCATAGTGCTATGCACCCAACGGTGCCTTTAAGCTGCAAGCTCCTTGGCTCCAGTCTTTGCATGGCTGTGCTGTCCCGGGCGTGGCTACACAATGCTCCTACTCATCGGAAGTCTTTCCACTGACTTGAATGGCCGGGGGATTAGGCCCCAAACAATTAGCGGTAAATAAACAATAACTGCGAATTGAAAAGCGCCCATCAACCGCAGTGGGAATTTGGAGGGGCCAGGGTTAGGCCCTGTGTCAAGCTTTGTATGTTAACCATTTGCAGGCACTGTTCGTACACTGCTAAAGGGCTGTTTGGTTATTCTCAGCTCTGCCTTTATTTATGGTCACCGCAGGGCTCCTACAAACCCGAAAAGAAATACGCTTTTCCCACTGAGACGGCCCAACTGGGTTCCCCTGGGGAATTTTGGCAGGACTGGGCCGACTGGGATTTCTGAGCGCTCTTTGGCAAGCCCATTAGCAATCTTTGCACACACACCGTAATGAACCAGACGTGGTTCACAGCGAGTGCACCATTGGCTGGTGCTGCTTGATATTGTTGGCTTCCTGCAGGGACATAGTTTGACACACACCAGACTTGCTTGTGCAATAATTCATTTAGTTCAGTGTCAGCTTGACAAGGGTATTGCAGAGTTCAGCTACTACGCGCTTCATACACGGCCTCCAATAGATTAGTTTCTTTCTTTCTTTTTTTTACATGTTGTATATTGACTTTCCATTTGAAAACAAAGAGAAAGGAGGACAAACCATAACACCCGGTTTTCCTAACACTGTGAGCCTGGCAGCTCGGTTTCGCTTCTTGCAAAATCTTAGTCAGAGCGGCTGGGTAAACATACGTCAGGCCCCAGTAATGAAAGCCATGTTAGTCTTAATGGGCCAAATTTGCTCCAGGTGGGACTGCACTGACCTGGGTGGGATTACACCTGGGATGGATTTGACAGCATGTCTCCACTATGGAGCATGTTTTCCCATATTTTTATTGGCACCAGAGAACAGACCTGAGAGAAGACGTTTAGACTCAGATCCACGTTCTGCCCAAGTCCCCAGGGTATCTGAATTCAGGGATTGTGGGCTGAGTCTATTTCTAAGATTAACACACATTCTTTGTGGAGCATACTGGGCTTATCAGCTGCCCCAAATGCAACAAAATAGACACATGAAATACACAGCGGGGTGTGGCCTGACCAACTCATTGGCTGAGTGCAAATATACAACAAAGCATAACACACAACACTGTGCTTGGTCATACTCTGTTGGTGCTACTGATGTTGCCCTTTTGGGGGGGTCACACATCTTCTTTCTCCACATAGTCTAGGGCACTGAAGGCCACTACATCCTCTTGGACGTGGGTTCAATCTGGATCTGTGCATGGTGGGGGGAAAAAATCATTGCTACCCTTTTTGGCCACAGCAAGAGCAAACAAAACCGACGATTACTGAGGGCCAGTGATTGTTTCAGCTTGGGTAGCGCCGCCGGCTCGGCAAGGAATTGTATCAGAAGGGCACAAGAGCGCTGACTATCATCCTGGACTGCCTCAGCTCAAGAACCCTGATGCATTACAAGGGGGAACGGCAACCTCTATGGAGAGATGTTTGACTTTAGCGCCGACACACTAACCTCAGAGATGGGCCTACATGGAAACCTCCATCCCAAACTATGGGGAAGTTTGAGTCTTGAGCTGAACTTCGCTGCCACCATTTCTCTCCTATAGTTTGAGAGAGAGAGAAGAAGAGGTGGTGGCGAAGAGCCAGATATGTCCCATATCCAAAAGCATGTCCGGCAGTGTTTCCTCACTGCTGACCCAGAGCAATATGTGCTAGCGATGGTGCTGGCAGTAGGTGCTGTGCGAGGCTCAGGGCGCTTTTCAAACTCAAAGTAAAATGAGAAGTGTAGCTCAGATTTGGATTAGAAAAAGGACCCGCACTTCCCTTTGCTTCAGTGTGTAAGTGAGGAGGACTGTTCAGGCATAAACCCATCTTACGCATATGTAGTAACCTGTGGCCAGATATATCAGAGACCCCAGAGTCGACAGCAGGAATCAAACCCTGGGCCCTTCACCATAAGCCCTTACCCGTGAGCTAACAGAACAGCTCTGTCAGCTGTCGCTAAGCAGCCGCTGAATCCTGGCTGGGAACAGCCTCTGGAAGGAGACGTGGTCACATGCACTAAGACAGGAGAATTACAGCCAGCTTTGGGGCTTTCATGGTGTTGACCTTTCCGTTTTTTTGTAATCGCGAAGGATGCATTCTAGTTTCCCATGAATTGCACAGCAGCTGTGAAACACCATCACCCCAGCAGACGAAACAGATCGTTTCCCTAGACCCCACAGTCCCACTGCTTCCTTCACCTGGCAATACAGCGGATCAGACTCTGGCATCCCATTAGAGCACTAGTATTGCCCTTATACTAAACCCTTATTCCTGTAACCTTAGTGGGCGGTGATCACAGGACCTGCCGGTGGCTCATTTGACACCCGATCGCTTTTTCCAGCCTGCCTGACAAACGTATTGATTGCATCCCGTTTTCGTCCCCTCTACCCACATGTAATGCACATTTAAAAACAAACAAATGGTTGTCCCTGGGCTTTAAATATCCGTTTCTCTGAGCCCGCAGCAGTCTGGTAAATCGTACATTTGGTAGTCAATAGCCTCCATGAAGTCATTAGGGATCCCTAAGGAAACGGACTCCACCTCCATTTTATAAGCTGCGGTCATGCCCCCTTTGCTGGAGCCCCTTATTTTGTTGGAGAGGCTGTTCATCTTTTCTTTCAGTTGGGTGGAGGATGGTTTTTGGAAAGCAGTGACCATTTTCCACCCTTTGAAGCTTAGCGTTCGCCTCTTAGGGGTTCTTTCCTGAGGGGTGGAGTTCAATATGAAAGAGCTGTTGAGGGTGGCGATTCTGGGCCCCATGTCCATGTCGGAATCCCGCCCCGAGCTGCTCATGGAGGTGGCGCGCCAGTGGTTGTCGTACACCCTCCAGATGGGCCGGCGGCGCCGGCGGCACTGACACTTGAGCAGCCTGATGAAAGCTCTCTTGAACTCTTTGCTGGAGCAGGGGTAGATGATGGGGTTCACGCAGCTGTTGAAGTACCCCAGCCAGAAGATGATCTTGAAGACCATGTCGGAGGGCTTCAGGGAAGGAAAGAAGGAACCTTGGAGGAAATGGGACAAACAAGGTTAGAGGAAGGCCATTGGGGAACTTGAACTGAAGGTCAGAATATCAAGGGCTGCAAGGAAGGGCGAAACTGATGGTAACCCTGCATAAAATCGGCATGCACCATAGACCAAGAGTTGAGGGTCTGACTCTCTGTTTCGATGCCCCAGGTTGAGCAGCGTGATTTTGCTCAGTGAGATCGTGCTCGGCAGAAGCAAGGCTGGCAGGCCTGGGCCCTAGGTGCTCGTAACAGTGCAGTCAGACTGTGCAGGAGATGGGAACTACAACATCCACCGCACCATGGGACAACATCAGGGATGAACCAGCTTCACCACAGCAGTGCTGCTGAAGGAGCTCAGCGTCAGGGAAATCTCTCTCTTCCCATCCCCCCACATGCCTGCCCAGTGCCCATCCTGGCTGCTTGGGCTGGGCTCTGGGGACAGTACTTGGGCCTAAATCATTTCCCACGATTCATAGAGAGACAGGCTTAGAAGCCACAATCCAGACCACACGGCAACGTTTCCTGTCTTACCTGTAAAGGTACAAAGCCTGCTTCTCATCTGGTGCAAATCAGCACCGTGCAAGTGAAGTCAATGCAGCCATGCCCATTTGTACCAACGGAGGATCTGGCCCCTGTGATATCATCTTTGAGTAAACTAGATGTTTCAGGAAAGTATCTGGTTGACAGGCCTGGAATCCAAGTCTTCTAAACGGAACAGATGTGGCAGCACATCAGACCACCCGCTGCCTTGATGCCCTCACAGGAAAGAGCCTCCAAAACCCGGCCCAGCTGGAGACTCTGTAGTGGGGTGGTCACCCCGCTCCGGCCTTGAAGGGCTTAAAGCAGCCCTGGGAGAGGGCTGTGGCAGGGGGAAAAGCTGGGCTGATGGGGAAAGCAGACACAGCTGTAGCCCATGCAATCAGGGCCTAGCTGGCTCTTATAAGAGGGCTGGGGGCCAGAAGAGGGAGACACTCTCTAGCTTTGTGAGAGAGAAGGACCTGGCTGCCTGGGACGCTGAGGAGGGTACCTAGGGTGGAGCAGGGCTGGGGAAGGGCAGAGGGAGCTGGGGAGCTCCAGCCTAGCAGAGCCCCAGGCTGCAGGCCGAGTTAAGGGTCCACAGGAGGGTACCAGGGCTGCAGAGGGGCAGCCCAGATATAGGTAGAGAGGCAGCTGGTCCAACCCCCATTGCGGATGATGAGGGGTTTAGAGACTGCAGTTTGCCCCAGTGAGCGGGGGCTCGACGACGACTGGCAGTAGCCACTGAGGCGAGGTGGAGATAGAGGGTTGGGGGTTCCCCCAGGAGGGGAGACCCAGACTGAGTGGGTACTGCCAGGGGGGCAGAACCCTGATCTAGGAGGGCACCGGGGTCCGGGAGGGACACGGGGGGCCAGAGGCAGGCGAGACACCGGCCTGCAGGGGGCGCTCCAGGCCGGAAAGAGCTAATTCCCTGGACAACCAGCAGGAGGCGCTGCGCCGGCACGTCGTCGCCCGGCCACAGACTCCCAGACAGTGGGGCGAGCGGGTTGTGATGAAGGTTTCTATGATAGACACACGTTTCAACCCAGCCCAAGCGGGCCACTGGACAACTGCTTTTTGCCCAGTGCCGGCACGGGCTGGCACAACTCTCCTAGGGCCGATCTACCAATCCCCTGAGCCATCCAGTTCCCCGGTGCAGAGTCTTTATCCGCATGTCTTAGAGGATATCACTCATTTGGCCCTGGCTCCCGATGTGCAGGTTAACCACGTTAACTGCCGAGCTCTTGTGATCAATGAGAACAGGGAACCAGGGCTCAGAATGGGAACTGCGGCACCAGGCTGCCGCAGCAGTGAGTGTGGTATATGAACCCAGGCAGAGAGACAGCGCAGCTGTGCGTGACACTGATGGTTTTCCCAATGCTAGCGCCAGACAAAGAACTCGTCCCCAAGGGACAGCTGGGGTCAGTCACTGACAAACACGGCAGCAGGCTTGCAATCTATAGAAGAGAGCAATTGAACAAGCGAGACTGAGGTGCTTGGGGAAGCCACAGAGTGCAGTCAGTTATCAACCTGAAGGCAGTTCCCGTTTCAAGGCAGATGAAACACTAATAAATTCTGAGGGAAGACTTTAATCTGTACCCACGGACGGTGCATGTACAGGATCTCGCTGACTTTTATGGAGAGCTCTGTCCCGAGCTGCCACTCCTCTCCTGTTTGGAGAGCGGAGGCACGTGGCCAGTTTATACAATCCTCAAGGTCCTTGCAGCTTGGATTCTAGCTAGAGAGAATGGAAAAAAAGTGTTGTGAACTATAAATGTGTATATATATGGCAAAGAAGTGGGGGAGGTGTGGTGGGGAGCGGGGGGACTCCTGGGTTAGTATAGCTGTATATCCGCTACTGACTCATGCGGCCATTTGGGCACCAGATGAACCATCTGGATAGTGATGTAAACCTACCTCACAGGCTTTTGATGAGGCTTAGTTCAATAGCGTTTCTAAAGTGCTTTGGGATCCTGAGTTGAATAGTGCTTTACTACTGCTAGGGTGACCAGACAGCAAGTGTGAAAAATCGGGACAGGGGGTGGGGGATAATAGGCGCCTATATAAGACAAAGCCCCAAATATCGGGACTGTCCCTATAAAATCGGGACATCTGGTCACCCTAACTAGTGCACACTATTTATTACTACAGTACTTAGTTACATCTTTCTTTAGGTTTCTTAAGTGTCTAGTTTAGCTGTACATAGCCTATTCCAAGACTCTTTTTAACTCCCAGGAGAGATTTACAGTAGATGGTGCATTGGGATAATCATTTTGTTCTTCTGTTGGGAGCGGCAGAACCTCACCAATAACTCAAGGAGCTATGGCCAGGGATACATAACCAAAATAGATTTGCCTTCAAAATGTGTATCATTTCTGTAAAACAAAGAATGGACTGACAAAGAAGAGGCAGCCGTACCAGCTAGGACGTTTATCAGGGACTGATATTCAAGGTCTCCTTGCAAAGTTACTCTAAAACTTACATGATTTAACAGACAATGAAATCTTTTCTATAGAACTTTGAAACCGCCCTGAAGAGCTGAATAGGAAAAAACCCAAAGAATATGGTTTAAAAAGTCCACAGAGAGGTAGGTTGTCGCTCTGTTTTCTGTGATAGGCAGGTGCCAAATGCTACCATTAACCAGGCTATGTTGCATCCTGCACAGCCAAAAGTTACCTTCTCTCTCCACCCCCCATCACAGAGGATGCTGGCTCCCCATTCTGTTGTGGCATCCCAGCACGCATCACACTGTGACATCACTGCTTTTGCATGACGTTGGCTGTGTAGTTAAGTAATTCCCAAGATTACGAAGCCCAAAATTTCAAAAATCATGAACCAGGTCCACAAAATCATGAGATTTAAAAAAAATAAATAAATTTGGGGTTCTTTTAATTTACAATCTGGCACTGGAGCCTGTAGGGTTCCCTTTTTCAAACTTGTCTCCCCAACCTGGAGGGCTAGAAACATACTTTTTATTTTAAGTGAAAGCTGAGATTCTCACATAATCACATGACTCCAGAAGCTGGGACTTAAAGAAAAAAGTGAATAGCATGAGCCCTCTGAACACAGTTTTACTGCTAATTTATACCTTGAATGTGTGTGTCCCCTTCTGGCATAGGAAAAGGAATTGGGGCACAAAGTTATCCTCTAATTATGTCTTCTTTACTTTGCCCATTTTAACAAATGACTGCTTTTATAGATATCATAGGCCAGCTCTTGACAGGAATGTACACTGGCTTCGACCCATGTATAACCTGTACGATGGCCCTTGAATGGAGAGTCCACCAAGAGAAGAATGCAGTAGCACAGAATAGCCACAACTTCCCTATCACTGCGTGGACCAGATGGGGGGGTCCAGCCCAGCCTGAAAAGCCTTAGATGCTGGTTCAGGAGGGGGGCAGGACAAGAAGATATGCCAATTCAGCGCATGGCAGCAGCAGCCTCCCACAGCACAAACTCTGAGAGGGGGTGTGTGGTGGTATTATAGACCAGGGGTGCAGTCTAAGTTCCAGCGTAATTCAGAGAGAGATAATTCCCTGCAACAGCAGTTGTGATTCTAGGTGTCCATCTTCATAGCATCACTATTGTCTTTTGAACTGGATATTAATTAAACTTATTGGAGTGCTTTTTGGACCTGGAAGCAGTTGATAAGGCACTGGTCCTGGCTTCTATTCTCAGCTCTGGCACTGTCCTTGTGCAACTCAGTTCACCTTTCTGTGCCTCAGTTTCCCCATCTGTAAAAGGGGCAAAATGGTACGGATCTTTCTTTGCAAAGTGTTTGGAGAGCTGCAGATATAAAATTGCAACTTAAGTGCTGACTGTTATTCACTCTTGAGCTTTTTTTAAAAAAATTCAAACAAAATATAACCTCTCAAATCTTCCCAGTTATTTTTTTGCTTGCTGTTTGCTTTATTAACTTTAGAAGAAACACACAAGCAAAAATAAAAAAAAATACAATGCGATGAGCAAGAGCCTTAAGGATGGGATTGTCACAAGTGCCAAAGGGGTTTAGGAACATGAATCCCAGTGACTTTCAATCCCAATTCAGGTAGGCACTTGTGACAACCCCTCTCTAAATTAATGTTATTGAATTGACCAGGAATTTAATATTAATGAATTTAACATATCTTAATAATTAATTTAGCATGATTAAATTAAACATTATTCCAGCATCACTGCAAAGGAATGCAAACAGATAACTGCTTTATGCTTTGCAGCTTTGGTAAGTATTCTCACACTTCTTATCAAACTGTCTGTACTGGGCTATCTTGATTATCACTTCAAAAGTTTTTTTTCTCTTACTTAATTGCCC